GCGGTAGTGTGAGGTGTCATTCAGCAAAGAATGATGTGGGAAAACCAGAAATATTTTAAGTATCGTGCCGAATCTCAGCTTTTTTGTAGCAGAACGCTGTATTTTATTTTCTTCAGCCAACAGGTATTGACATTTTCATTTCCTCTTGAGGCAAAGAAATCTTTTTCTGCTAAATAGTTAAATAAGCTGGATAAAAATAGAACCTAAACTTTGTTTGGAGCAGCATTTGAGTCCAAAGGCACCACACCAGTTGTTTGGAACATACTGGATTTCATGCAAGTATGATGGAAAATGTGTATTAAATCATTAAATACAGGGTCCCTTCTTGTTTGCATAGATGAATAATTTTGCATTATAAATAAGAGACTGGGTTGGTGTCTTTTATAAATATCAGAGCTTTATGTGTACCAGGTTCTCGAGTTGCCTAGGTGTAGCAAGGTATAAACCACTTGGTTTTATTAAATGTTGTAACTTGCAGGTATGAGGGCTAGTTCTGCTTTGTAATACACATTATTTCATACATTCTAAACTGTCTTTAAATAATTAATAACTGGCGTGGACACAAAGGATGCTTTTACCTGGGCTTGAGTAGATACAGTCATCTAGTGAAGCTGTTGGGGATACAAACTTAAACCATGTTTCCTTTGGAAAAAAAAAAACCTGTTCTGCAGCTGCGGGTGTTGGGAGGTGACAGCCAGCCCTCCTTGCCTCGCTTATTGATTGCAGCTGGTTCTCCTCGGGCTGCCGTGCGTTACAATAACCGGGTTTGGCTCTCGTTCCTACTAGTGCGCTTCATCAGACGCAGGGTCTGTGTGTTATTTTGTTACCTCCTTCGCGTACCTGCTGTTTGCCAAAGAGGGAGGCCGGGAGCCCACCCGTGAGGGCTGCACAGTGGCTTCCCGGCAGGGAGCTCCTCCGGGGCGTCCAGGCGACGTGGCTCGAGCTGAGGGAGTTATTAGGGGAAGGGGGTGGATTTTCACAGTAGTGGAAGGAGGCAGAGGAGAAGTGTTTGCTGACAACTCCTGACCCTGACGAGATCTGAAGTTCTTTACTGGCACTGATTCCACTGAGATGCGTTTTAGCTGGTTTGTGAACGGGGTGTCTGCTCAGGCTGCAGAATTAAGATGCTGTGTGAGGTGTGACTTACTCACCTGGAAAGGGGTGCGTGTGCTCAGAGCCACCTTTACAGTTGATTTTAGTCTGGGGTCAGCTGCGTGCCATTCTTCTCAAACAGCTTTAACATACTCACTGTGGCCAGAACGTCCAGCCCTTTGCAGATGGAGCAGTGTTCTGGGAAAGACAGACAGCAGAAGTGGCCTTCAGCACTGTCGCCTCCCGGTGTTTTCCATATTGCAGAGGCTGTGGCACACGGGAATGTTCAAGGCCCGAAACATCCCACAGTTGATACTGCCGTTGCCCCACAAAGGAGATGTGGAGGAGCGGCGTGCTCCGCAGGCTTTGCATACATTAGCTAACGCCCTTCCAAGCAGTTCGCCGTTCCCTCGCCCTCAGTCAGTAAGGATGTCGCTCCCTCTTTGCCGCCCTTGTGGGCCCCCAAAATCCAGGGTGTGCGGCTGGCAGGGCACCGCAGGGCGCAGGGGATGGTGGCACCAGGCGTTAGTTATTCTTGATGTGTTTGGTTGCTTTTTTGAAAGGTCAAACACACAGGCATTCCCGGGGACAAAAAAACATCGCTTTGTGTTGCCCAGAGCTAGAGGCTTAGTGCTACGCAACTGGTACAGCTGTAAACTTTAGAAATATTACTCTAAATGTTTGGGTTTTTTTCAGAATAACACAAACAGATATGTCCTTAGCAATAGACCACTGAAATGTAGAATGCATATCGTGAGTGATGCTGCAGGAATAAATATAAGCAAGACAAATCGTATAGCTTTGTCAGAAAAACCCCAGCAGCGCTCAGCACATGATCCTTAATGTGCTTTGGTCAATATCTTTCTCTGTATCAATGGAAGCTCATTAAACGAAGATATTGCAGACTAACTGAGCCGTGCTGTATTAGTTCTTGCCAAAGCTTGACATTTTTAATACATTAATAATATGTCTGTAATGTAATGGAAAACTATTAATCAGAACTGGTTATATGCCAGAAATTTAAGCTATAATTGGCTGCTTCTTGTCAGGAATGTCTGTCGTACACTGCTACAGCTGCCTAATGCTCGGATGTCTTGTACTCCTCTGCACTTTTTCCTTGTCAGTGCACTAAATCCGATCGATGTTATAGTCTATAATTCTGTGTAACGACCATCATTATGACTCTGGCTTACTTTAATGAGAATTCGTTATATGGGAAGTATTTTAGCACAGTGTGTTAAGGCAGTGGCTTGCTTCACATTTAGTCCTATCCAGGCCTGTTTATTAGTGGATATGAGTCTCAGCAGTTATAAAAGGTTACGGGTAACTGAAGAGCTAGCAAGGAAAATATTAAAGAAAACAAATCTATTTTTGCCTGAATATACAGTCTTGTAGTCTAAGGATAATTAAACCCAGTAACTTTTTATATCTACACAGAAACATGATATTCACCTACTGTTTATTCCGGCTATGACCAAGCCTTCTCCGATACAGAGTGGGTTGTGATTTGTCACAAATTTAAAATAATTTGGCTCCTTTTTTAGCAGAGTAGTTGTTTCCCTTTTGTATGATGGCTGTTCTAAGCTATGGGGGTTTGGGGGTGTTTTTTTTCCCCTGCAAAATAGTAAAATACATTGAAAAGAATTAGAGGAAATAGTATGAGGTGTCTTTAGAATGACATGAGAAGTGTTCTCTGAATTACTGAATTCCAAGATAATAAGTAAACATTCCCACTGAAAACAAAAAAGAATGTAAGGTCGCTACAAAACAGTGGTACTACACAGTGTGCTTTTTAAAAAGATTTAATTTTAATTTGGTCTTTTATATTTCTGCTTTTGTGTCAAATTCAGATTTGAAGCTTAAATATATTTGAACTAATTGAGAATTGTTATTGCATGAAAATTCAGATATTCTCTGTATATTCTGATAAAATATATGAGAGTTGTATGGTAACACTTGATAAAATGAATATAATGGAAAATTGCATTTACGTCCATACGGCAATTATTGTAAATTACTTTGCTATGGAAACACAATTCAACCATCTGTTGGCATTTCATAGTGTCTGCAGTTTAGCTCAGTTTAAGATGAAGCATTATTTAAATCTAGGGAGGCCGTTTGCGAATAGCTTTGAAGATAAGTTTGGAAAATGTGTATTATCAAAGTGACATGCTAAGGAGCTCACCAGGTCACATACCCCTTTCCATGGTTTTAGGGTGTAGGAGGGTTCATGACACTGGGCGTGATTTAAAACTGGGAACAAGCAAAGCGGGCTGCAGAAAGTGGTGACTTACGGTTGTTTCTTAACATCTGTCTGACGGGTTTGCTTAGATTTTAGCATCCAGACAAAAAGAGCGCAGAGATGCTGTGGCAGCTGGCTGAAACCCTCCTCCCGCAGAAAGCTCAGGTCCCAGGCTCCTTGGCCCTGACTAGTACCGGCTGACACCAGGCTCAGGCTGAGAGAAATGAGTTGGAGTTCCCAGCTCTTGTTTTCCTTGTCTGTGTTTAGAGAACTTAACTCCGTTTTTGCAGTTTCCCTCAGACATAATTTGTATTTTTACCTGTGTTTTTTAGCAAATGTGTATTTTAAGTCATTGTAATAACATCCTGGGATTTTATACCTGTAATAATATGATTGAGGTGATACAAACCGAGGGAATTTCTAGTTGCTTTTCAAAGAGAAAAAGGAGGATATATCTGCTATGAAATAAATGCTGAGTACACACGTACACCCACCCCCAAACCTAGGAAAATAAGACTGCCATAACTGAGGGGGAAAGCATCCTTATAGTAAGCTACAAATGAACCGTTATCTTTATCAGTAATTCATCATCAGTGTGATCAGTAAATCACAGTTCAAAGGAAAAAAAAAAAAAGGAGCAAAGCTCTTCCAATGCTAATGAGAAATTTCAAGGAAGCAGAAGTGTGCTTGTAATATCTTTGTTACTCTTCCAAAAAAAAAAAAAAAAATCTAAGACATGCATAAGGCTTTTGGAGCTCACTGAGGTCCCCTTGCCAAGAGACTATCAGCACCTGGTAGCTCTGATACCCATCTCTGTCACTTTAATAAAAGAGCCTTCCTGCTGCTGCCCTGCAGCGCTGGGCTGCCTGCTCCCCTGCCTGCCTGCATGGACTGGGCGGTGGTTGAGTTCAGTGGTTTGCTCTCTGGTTTTGCTACGGTGAAAAGACAATTTTGGAAGCAGAAACCTGTAACCCACCTGGAACGTTATAGATCTCTTTGTTAGAAGAGAGTTAAATTCTTCATGTCAAAATACTTTCCTCTCTGAATGATTTTGGTAGTTCGTTCATTCTAGCACAGCACCCGTGGTAAAGGTTATCCATATTATACCAATTTGCTTTATATTGCATCAAACCTCCAAAATGTCAACATATCATATATTTCGCGAAGCATTGATTCTTGGACAATAACTCTAACTCTTATTGTTTCTAAAAGGGTGCTGGTGCCAGAAGAAAAGAATGATTGATGGGAAACAGACACCAGCCTGTAGACGCTCATCCTTTTGCTTCGGATACTGATTTGTCAGCGCATCTGGGCATCCCCTGCGAGCCCTGAACACAGAGGATCACTCAGGGTTATCGACAGTGTAGCTGAAGACCTGCAACTTCACAAATTATTATCCGCTATTGGACATCTTTTACAAGAAGCTCTGACAGATAAGTTATAAGACAAAGGACAAGTGCTGCATTGCTGTGGAACGCTGTCATCGGAGTCTGGGTGGCTTCTACCAAAGTCTTCAACTTAGTGAAACAAACACTCTATCCTAATGCTTCATGTTTGATTTGGAACCTATTTTATAAAATATATACATGTACGTATATGTATAATCTATAGACTGCACGTACGCCAGTACTGAGCATCCTTACGAAGGTGACAAAAGGATTTAGAAATGTATTTGTCAAGATTCCTGTCACTTCACGCCCTCTGGGTTACCGTATCCTCTGTGATGCAGCACTATCCTTCTGTGTGGGGACACTATGACGTGTGTAAGACTCAGATTTACACAGAAGAAGGAAAAGTATGGGATTACATGGCCTGCCAGCCGGAAGCCAGAGACATGATCAAATACGTAAGAGTGACTCTGGATCCCCCAGACATAACGTGTGGAGATCCTCCTGAGACTTTCTGTGCAATGGTAAGGCAAGATTTTAATTTTGCATAATTAGTGTGTATATATTTGTGATAGATGGCTTCAAAATGGAAGCCCTAGAGCACACATGTAATTATCCAAGAAAATCTGCATCATGTTCCGAATGTGAAGATGATGAACAAAATGCTGAGCAGTACATTAAGCTCGGCAATGAGATGTTCTCCTTATGGAGACCTAGCTTGACTTTGCAGAATTCAGTGTCTCTCTAGGTCAACTTTTAATGACTTAAAAGAAAGCAGCATAAAACTCCTGCTGCGCTAACCCATAACTAGGGTGCGTTTGCCTGCATCACGAAAAACCTGAGTTCCAATACAATTGCCTGAAAGCATCTTAGTATGGTGTAATTCAACATCATTTCCAAGCGTAAGACTGTTGTTAGAAACTCAAACTGCAGCAGAAGCTTACAAGGTGGTGGTGGGAGCTGGGCTGGTGGAGTTTTTACGGCAAGCCCACACAGCCACGGGCAGCATCGCTGGAGCCTTGCTACTGCCCAGAGCAGATGCATACCAGCAGGTCCATACCTGCACATAGGGACAGTGCAGCAAGAAACAACTTCAGATGGGGGGCAGCTCTACCAACTACTTTGGTAGACAACTTGCTTCTTTAGCTGAAACTTTAGGCATTTAAGCCAATGAAGAGAGATCAAAGTCAAGCTCCTTAATTTAGATGCTTCTAAGATTAGAGACTAGTTTTGGAAATGTTGGGCTTGGTAAATAATTGTACAGGTATGAAAAAACAAACAGACACTATATATATATATGTGTATATATATATATATATCTCAACCTTTTACAGCTCTGCTGCTCCCAAGTGTTTGATAGATCGTGCTGTAAGAGGTCATTCGAGTTAAAGGAAATCTCCAACTTGTAGGTGACTTGTTTTTCCTCGCAAACATGCAGAATTCATTTTCTTTGCCACTAGATATTTCTGTTAAATATTGAGTGGCAGATACAGTATTCCTTGACTAGAAAATGTGAGTTTGAGATGCAAAACATATGTACTTCTATTAATAAAGCACTGGAAACATACTTGACATAACCTACATAATTTAGATTTGAAAAACCAGTGAGTTCTGGTAAGCGAGGTTATCGTAACTGAGAAAAGTCTGCAAGATATTTATTTGCCAGGGTGCAAATCATCATTGCTGTGTGACAGCATCCCCACAAGAAGGAAATTGGCTTTTAAATGTCTTATAGTATCATTTGCAACCACTACCGTTTGTAAGGAGTTCAGGTCCAACCACACATACATTTAGGGCGTTATGTGCACGCATGCAGCTGCTTCCCACGTACATTATGGTAATAGCCACGTGATAAATTGCGGAGCTACATGAATAAATTACATTCACTGTGAACCTTTGACTGCACCACTTGCTCTCTGCCCACTAATCCATCTCTGCTGACATGACTTTGACACTCTAAACCTCCAAGCTGCTTCAAGCAGCCACTGTTTAAAAAAAACAAATAAAAGCAACACACCCTGCAGAATATGGTCTTTTTCCTTTATCGTGAAATGTATTTTCTACCTCAGATTAGTAATAGCTGTGATTTAGGCCTCAAATCAGTGACATTTAGTAACTCATCATGTAGTGAAAAAGAAAAGTTGTTCTTTTAATGCAAAGGAAACTGCCCAGCAAAACTTGTTTCTTCCTTTTGGTGCAGATAAACTTTGTGGCAATTTCTGTCTTAAGTAGTTTAAGCTTCTGAGTGCCTCAGTTATCAGTCCACTCTCTAGTTAGGATAATGATTTCAAACAAAAAAGACATTTTGATTAAATCTAAGTATTAAAAAATGTGCCAGAACTCCCCCTGAAAACGTTTGACCTAGCAAGGTCCTTAATGCTATGATAAGGGATGAAAGTTTTCGTGGGAATGACCTGAAGTTACAGCTGTAGCTCGCTTACTGCTTAAGTCCTTGAGACGCGGAAGTCTACCAGCATCCTGAAATGAGAAGTAGAGAAAGAGGAAGAACTGGGAAGAGGGAGAGAGAGCATGCACAAATGAGAGTGTGCATTTAGTCATGTGAGTGTAGAGTGACTGACTCCTACGTGATAAACTGTTGTATTTGCTTTCAGTGTAGATGTATATTGTACATATGCACTGTATTCAGATATGCATTGGTAATGGCTTGACTTACTTGAAACGTTAGGAAAATAACAGAAATATTTAAGGTTCCTGAGGTACTGCACAGCACTCTCGTCCCTAAAAATGCTTCGTGTCTATCTGTGCTATAGCTACATGTAGAAATTATACATTTCCTTCAAAATGAGGTTTTACATATTTGTAGGGCTGAGCCTTTAGCATTTCCCAATGAGGAGTTTTTATTTTTGTGTTCACTTTTAGTTTTAGAAAATGAGATAAGATAGCACTGACATACTTGGAGAAGGTGGGCAGTGGAAAAGAGTGCGTTCCTGTTAGGCATGTTCTTGCACTAAAAAAATCTCAAATTTGAAACAGCAGAGATCCAAAGGTTTCTTTTCAGCATGGTGAAGTGCCAAACTGACTTATACAAATGCTTGGGTTTATTGTTTTGAGTATTGGGTATTTGAGTGCTAAACCTGCCTACCAGTGTTTTGTTACATGAAATCAGGTTAACGCTGTCTTGGAGGAGGTCAGGGTCCTTTCAGATATCCTAGCAATGAGCAAGGATACCAAACAGCTGAGCCTGCTTCTGCAGGAAGAGGAGGAGGTTGAAGCAGACTCCTGTTTTGTTTCCATATCAGTTCTCCAATCAGGCTTAGTAATTTTCTGTTCACCACAGACTATATGGCCTAAGGTACCAGCTGTTGAGCCTGTGTCGGCTGTGTTGTATAGATTATATCCCTGAAACACAACCAGACGGAGGGATTCACCCAAGTCCTGCTGGGAGGTTATGGTAAAATCTAAAGCAGTCTGTGAGAGGGAGATGATAATAGTCTGCAATAACACGCAATGCAGTCATGCATCGCAATGCACGCGAACACACAGTACAGAGGAATGGGCAGTTAATGGTAGAATTTGCTTCCTACTTATTTCTGCATATTCCCCATGGAATTAAATGTTCTTATGAGTCCATTATGAATTTTTACTCAGTGAGCTTGTTTAGCTGACAGACCAAATAACGAGGTTTTACACATGCAGATTTGTTGCAAAACGCCACAGTTCTCTAGTGTAGCTAAACCCAGCACGTGGCAGCTCACCACGTTGTAGTTTCTGGTGACATTTGGTATTGACAACTCGTGAGATTATTCTGAAACCTCAAACCCCTGTAGTCCTATGATTATGTGAGATTCTCAGCTTTCCTTTAAAACATCATCTTCATTTTCTTCGTCCTTCTGGTTGCAGATAGAAGTTTGGAAGTGAAACTGAGATGCTTAAAAAGCAGAAGCCAAATAGCCCTCAAAATTATTGTTAAAACCTCATCATTTTTAAAGCCGCTCAGGATTTTTAGGGTTTGGGAAAGGATTTTGATCAAGAGGAGAGATGCATGAAAGAAATATATAAACAAATTAATGGCTTAGGGCAGCGAACACTCACAGTTTCTGGCTGTGGAGTTGCTTGTGTCTGTAAAGAGGATGTGACAGCCTCCTTTTCCAACAGGTAGTACTCCTCCTTCCTGAGATATAACCAGCCCCTGCACAGGGGGTTCACTGGTCACCTCTGGCTTCCCTGTACATTTTAAAGCAATCTCTAGCTGCCTAGAGTGAGGCATGTGTGCTGGGAGATGATGCACATCTGCTTTCTGTGGCATTCCTTCGAGGAAATTTGGCTGTCCTTTGTCAGTCACAGAGTTGGGCTGGACAGTCACAGCGTTTGAGCCAGCGTGACCATTCCTGTGGGTCCATAATTCATGAACTTTGAGCATTTGGCATTGGTAAGAGTGTATCTGGCACCATATGCTTACTCTTAGTTGTCCTGGGAGGAAAGGGAAGGGGAAGGAGAAGACAGAAGAGAAAGAAGCTGCTTCACATTTTCAGAACTACAAGATTCATTTTGCAAAGATACTGTAAGCAAATTTTTAAGTACCTGAAGGTGCTAGTTCTTGTGGCCTGCAGCATTTCAGTTTACAAAACGAATCTACTTTAAATTCCCAGGAGTAACTAATGGTGAAATCTTCTACATCCCTCTTTGTTGTTGCAATTTCACAAAATTGCTTGTTACAATTTCACAAAACTCTGTCCATTTACAGAAACAAATCTGACTTTTCATGACCATCACCATCTTTTGCCCTACAAGAACAGTGCATAGGTGGCTTCTGACGTCTTTATTTCTAAAACGCTTGTGGGCTGTGCCCCCCGTATGAGCATCAGGAGCCCCGTGATGCCGCTCACGGCTTGGGGGTCCCATTGCCCCAGAGTCGCACTTGCCCCTCACATGGGCCAGCCCCTGTGCCGAAATCCTGCCTTCAGCGTGGGCTTTGCATTCAAACCTTAGCCAGGGTCAGCATGGAAATTGATCACGCTTCTGGTGGCAACTGGTGGCAACAGCTCTAATTTGCAAACCAGAGACAAGCCTATGATATCAACCTGTGTTTGTGGCTGAAATGGTGACATAAAAATACAATTTTCTGCTTATTTTTAGACCTGGCTATTATAACACCATCCTGCATCCCAGTGGCTAAAAAATGATGAAATTATTGGCAATTATCGTTGCCTGTACCTAATTTACTTCATAGGTTAAACAGAAGCTTAAAAAGAAGCCTATGGATGGCAATCCTGTGCATTTATACAATTTATAGAGCAGAAATGCTGATGACAGTAGGAATTTAAACCCTTGAGTGCTACTCTGTATTTCATAGCCAATCAAAACTAAATTAAGAAACACAGATTATTAAAAAGTCTTCTGTGCATGTAATTCTAGCATAATATTATGAGGTGGACATTAAATTTTTCCCTCTGAGACTTTCAGTATCATTAATGTAGCATTCCTTTAATTACAAGTACGCTCATATTCCTTAAAAAAGGGGAAAAAACTCCATAGTGTAGTTAGTGATACCATTATTATGTTT